CTACAAGACAGGTGAGATGAATCCTACCTGAACACAGTTTCTGTGTGATCACATTTCCCTCTCACCCCCCACCCAGCAGTCCCTGCTTTTGTGGGTAGGAGATAAATGACATTGATTTGTTTAATGTGTAAAGTTCATTCTTGAGCTCAGTCTGGTTTCTTGCTTCTCTTTCAGAATTAAGAAGAGCTAAAATTAACTTCTGCTGCTGTAAACATTTTCATATGACTTTCCCAAATAATTTCATATTCAAAACAAACCTTTACTACCCTTCTAGCTGTTAGGAACTGCAAAATGGATAACAGTTTTCAACCTTATTCCATTCATATAGATTTTTTTTCCTAGTAGAATGCCAAGTATTTTAAAGTTCACTTAAGTTCAACTAATTTTCTACCTCATATAAACTTATAAAAGAGCAATCTGACATAAGATGTCCTTTCAGAAAAACAAACAAATAAAAAACCAAACAACCCAATCTACAAGCAAACACCCAAAACCCAGTTTGTGCCTTTACCACATTTTCCTTTTATCTTCGTGCTTTTGGTTAATCTTTTTAAACCCCACTAACGATGAAGTCCTACTAGTGAATCTTGATTTGCTTGGGTAACTAATTTGATTGCATTAAATAGAACTATTGTATTTATTGTTGAATTAATTTATAGTTTCACCTTTACAGTTTTGAAGCTGCTAGACATTGTTATCTAGGGCTTTCTCTAGTAAGGTTGGAAATATTCATAAAATAGCACAAATGAGGTGGATTTAATATTTTATAAATATATTAAACATTAATAAAACAAACTTCACAATTTATTAATTTATTTTGTTATATCCTGGTGTAAAATGGCATAAGCTCTGGCACACTGTCTGTATCATTCTACACACATTAGATCAGCATTTTATGTCTTGGCCTGTTTATATAGATTCTAGTTGAAGCATGAATAAACTTTTCCTTTGCTTTGCTCCAGCTAGTCCTGTGTATATCTGATGTGGGACTGGAACTCTTTGTTGGAAAACAAGAAGGAATATGGGGAGAACAAGAGATTAAATGAACTTTACTTGTAATAGCAAATATCCTTAGCTGGCATTGGGTAGTAGAGGCAAAAAAAATAAAGCAAAAACAGTTTTATCACAGTTTGTTTTTTTTCTTAATGAAAAGATAAAAGGGAATAAAATTACATATGGAGCATCACATTTAAATTAAGGGTATGATTATATTAACTGCTGCCCAATGCTGTGTGTATAATAACACCTTTTCTTCCAGAAACACACGTGTATCTATGGAAATGTGTGGAAATTATCATGATGTAGATAAGCTCAAGATATCTGTAGACAGAAAGGACTAAACCTGGCTTTCAAAGATAACTTCAGTCAATCCCTTCACCTGTTTGTCTTGGAGTTCTAGGTTCAGTGCAGTATTTTTCTCATTTGTGGATATTATTTTGGAAAGTGTCAGTTTAGGGCTGAGGGAAATAAAGCAGTTTGGCAAGAAGCATCGGGAGAATTGGCTACAGTTCCTATATGCATCTCAGCAGTGCTCTCTTCTTACCTCTTTACAATGCAACCGAACTGTGGTTTTTGGAGCAGAGGTACACCAGCATCTTTTTCCTTCCCCCCAACTCCCACCCATTATCCTTGGTTCTTGACCTGTGTGCAGAGAGACTTCACATGGTAACTTTCGGTTAAATAAATACATTGCGCTTAAATTTCTGCAAAGCACAAGTTTTCCTGTTTAGCCAAGCCTGCAAACCTAATGTAAATTGAATAATCTTTACTTTGTAAAATTTAAAGCTGAGGATTGTGTGGAAATATTTGGTTTTGACTTGGAAAAAAGCCAAAAAAGTTTCAAGTTAACTTCAGGTTTTCTAAGTTATTTATGGGAGTGTTGTTCAGCCAGAATAAGCCAAACCAGCAAGGTTTCTGAACCAATTCCCTCCCTGTATTTTAACAGGAAACAATATAAACAAACTAGTTTTCTTCTGACTCAATTTCTATTCTTACCTAGCTGTACTCACTTATTTTATATTTTATTTGAATGTAGACACACAGTTTCATTTGATGGAAGTTCTCTCAAATAGCATTCTAAAATTCATCTTCAGAACTTAATATGTACAAAATATACTTTTATTTCAAATTCCAAGGTATCCTTTGCAAGGTAAGTAGACAGGAGCATGAAGGAATACAGTAAGCATGGAGGAGGTTGAAAAATTAGTCATTATGTCATTCTTGGCTATGTCACCTGGAGTAATAAAGCCATTGCCATTGCTTTGGGGCTTTGGCAGAGCTGTGATTTACAACATCATAGATTTATCTAAAAATTCTACTGTTGGTGCCAGAAGCAGCTCAAGAGTTCAGGGGGTGTGAACAAATATGGAGTCATTTAGTACAGTCCATGGCATAGTTAAATCAAAACTACTAGTGTCTGAGCTAGACAGACTGATGTTAGGTTACACCCAATATGCTGCATTTCTGCTTTGATTTGGACTATAAACCTAAAAAAAGTAAAATTTCAGTAGTTCTGTTGTTAAAGGTGAGATTTAACAGGCTACCTTTTCTTAGGGTTGTCAATCCTATGCAATTATTAGATGTTGCGGGGAAGTAACTAATGTTTCTTAAAGTCTGGAAAAGGAAACTGTAGGTTAATTGAAAAGGGCAGATTATTGTACTAGATTATGAAGCAGATTGACCGCAAAGGAGAAATTCTTAGAGCAGGAGTTCTGAATGAACAGAATTGCTCCTGCTGCTTTGCCTGACATTATACTTAGGCTTTATAAAACTTGTTTTAATTCAATTTTTTGAGTCACTAGTATCACCCCAGTGATTCTGTTACTTTGAGGATATGAAATGTGATTGTACAATCTCAAATGAAGGGTCAACAAGCACAGGATCTTCTCTCAAACACTGGCAATAAATACATGCCTTGTAGGAGCAGAGAAGATGTTTGATATTTCTCCTGAATGCTGTCTCAGTCTCTGATTTCAGTTCATGGTGTTTTCTGAACAGAGAGTTCTACTTATATTTTGCTAGGAATCAGGTTGGTTTTCTTTTTTTTAAGGATGAGTCCTTTGCACTTCTTGGTTTTATTTTGTTTCATTCTTTGTTCTTAAGTGTTGTCAGCTGGCATTCAAAGGTGAAAATAATTCTGTACATTAAAAAGTAAGAGGGGTGGGAATAAACAAAAAAAATATAAATTAGAACTAAAAATAAAATATATACCACACTCTGGAGAGGCTGAGGAAAACAAACAGAGAATGAAATTGAGGGCTAAATGTCATGGGGAAATAATTAAGTTTATAAATAATTAACATGTTAAACAGAAGATAAACAATTGCTTGGTGAGGTGAGGGGAAATTTGTTGGTCTAGATAACGGGTTCATCTTGTGGGAAGACTGGAGGATTGATGATGAAGTTTCCGAACAGCATGCAACTTCAAAAAGCTCTTGGAAAGAGATGCATTGTGATGGAGAGCTGCGTGTTTCTTGTAATGATTTTTTTCCACTTGCCCAAACTCAAGCAATGGTAAAACCTAACAGTCATTCACATAATGTTTGTCTAGGTACTGGACAAAATTATTAAGCTTTTAACTAACTCAAGGGGTTTATTCTGTCTTTCATTAAATCTTCATTGAAGTAGTCAAGACATTTGCTGCCTCAGCATAGTTTTTATCATCTCTGAGGTAAGATCTGTGATCCTCTGGCTAATTTACTTAATCTGATTTATAGTTGTAGATCTTGTGCCTCATGATGTGCGATTTTTACCACCATAGCTCCATTTGGCTTTTGCACCTACTTACCACACATTATAATTGCAAAATGATCAATTCACTCAATGTTTGGATTTTCCATTCTTGTGCTGGGTCTTTGCTCAGTCTCATTATAAGCTTTAAGTTATTTAATTAATTTTGAGCAGCACTTTCAGCCCCTGAAGGGAAAGATGCACTTATAAAAAGTCAGTGGAATTCTTGGATTTTTATTTGCCTCTTTGCATACACCAGGTTCACTGTCACAAGTCTCAGTCCCTGTAGGCATTTTTTTGGACACAAGATCTTTGGCTTTTTTTTGTGATTCTTCAAGAATGGATTTTTTTGTTGTTGTTTTTTACATACTCAGCGTGGCAGCCTGTTATACAATATGTGGATCTTGCAAGTCAGAGAGAGTAAGACATGGTGTAGTTCTCTCAGTACTGCCTATTGGAGCATCATATGGATGGCTGTAACTGCTAATCACTCAAGAGTTTCACTGGGCAGAGATTTAGTAGTTCTAATCCAAATGTACTCTCAAAGTACTTTAGCATATGTACAATGTGGATGGTTCAAGGTACAGGACCACAAAATGAGATTGAAGTCTAAACATAAACTTTCTTATCCCTCTATAAGAAAAGTTAAAATAAAGCTTCTATGTCAACCAGATTCAATTATTTATATATATATATATATTTTTTTTTATGTCAAACTGCATGGACATTTCCTAGTTAGACTAAGTTTTCTGTAGGCATTTTTTCTAGCTGATGAACCAGAGATTAATAGTGTATGCCTTTATAGCAAACAGCAATGTCCATCTAGTCTAATTACTATCTATTTAAATAAAATAGAAAGCAGATCGGTATTTTGAAGCCCTTTCATAAAGCACAAAAGACTCAAATATAATAGGCTATTAAACTGGAATGCATGTTCCAGGGAAACATTTTGTTTAAACTTAATGTAACAAGCTTATGAACAAAACAGTAACTGTAGGTTTAAAGAAAGTACTTTTCTTTGAACTTTAGTGGATAAATTAGTTTTGTGTTGCAGCTCAGAGTATTACTAAATGCTGAATTCATTACCTTTCCTCATAATCTTTTTTAGCAAACTGTTATGTTGGACAATACTTCTGCTGTTTGATTTAAAAGATCAAAGCTGTTCTCTGAAGAGTTTTGATTAACTGTGAAGACTGGCTATGTTCAACACTAATAGGTATACTAAAGTGCTGCCAAGATTAATGTGGAGATGACCCTGTGCCTATTTTCAGAATTGCAGGGGGGCGAATTCTGTCAACAGTGAGGATGCATTTGATAAAAGGCCGAAGCAATGGGGATCCTTTCTGTCAGGCAGTAGAGGAAGTTGTACAAGACTTGGATTTGAAGATTAAAAATATTATCGATTCACAACATGAAGTCTTGACTTCCAGCACTACTGGAGTCAGTCCAGCACGGGTAATGGGACTTCCTTTGTTCTTTTTTACTATTTACCTTTACATGAAAGCAAACATCTTTCACCTGTTTTGTTTTATTTTATTTTTTAAAGGACTTTATATAGAGTATTATCTTTCCTTAACAGTACAGAGCATTGTCATTTCCTCTGCACTGTGATTTTAAAATCGTTGAAAGACTTATACTTGAGGATTAGTGTGGATTTCAAAAAGCTGATAAACTAAACTTCTTATCTCAAATTTGTAAATAAAATACTCTTCAAAATATAATTTGCTCATACAGCTGTTGTAGATATCAATACTTATAACTGTCAGGTTTGCCACTCATTTCAAGGCAATGAAGTTATAACAGATTTCCAAACAAAAAAATCAAAAGTGGATTTAAGATTTTTGGAGTATGTACCAGCAACTTTGATTACACAGGTTTGAATTGTTTCGGCATCAAGTATTTTTGAGGCTAAGGCATTCAAAATATGGTTAAATGTGAAAGAAGTACAAAACAGGATGAAATATGGGATGGGAGGGTAGTAAAAATAAAACTCTGACCAATCAATATTTTAGGCTTTTATCTTTTAGTGCTTTAATACACTAATGAAACTATTAATGATTTTAGTTTCATAAAAGGAATCAGGATATTTAAAATTCTTCAAGTCAGGTGTGGAGAGCAATATCAAGGCTTTCTATTTATGGTTTCTGTACTTTGAATCTACTCAGGTTTACATTATGATTTTTTTTTGTGATGAGAACATCAGCCAGCTTTAATTATTTTATTTTACATTGTTGATATATCAAATATCTAATGTATTTTTTTGTCTAGGAAACTTTTAAAAACTTTTGAAATATGTGTACATTGTTAGAATGCTCTGTTTTGTGAAATCACTGGAATTATCCCAAGGTAACAAGATTTTTAACAAATTTAAGTCAGCCTTCCAATATGCTTTTTCTTTTCCATGAGAGCTGAAACCAGCCAGCCCCTAGTGGCTAGTTAACTACTTTAAATGTGTGTTAAGTGTTGGAGTATATATTTAATCCTCATTTTCCCCTGAATCTTTCATCACACTATTTCCCTGTTTCTGAGAAACTGAAAAATTTATCACTGTTATCAGTTCTATCTTTATCTATTTGTATTACTGATAAATTTTTTAAAAAATTTGATCACTAGAAACCAGATAAAACCATTTTAATAAATCTCCATTCTTCAGAGAAATTAACAAAAAAAATTGCTTTTCCAAAATAATTTGTTTTTTATAGTTCTCTATAGGTCAAATTCATAGTCTATTGACTATGGAGAAATGTTTACCTGTTGAGGAAGAAGACAGCAAAGATGATTGTGTCCTGATGTTGTTAGGGAATGTGCTTAAATACTTCACGCTTCTTTCAACAGGATTAAGTTAATATTTTTCTCAAAACAGACACCTGAGAGCAGCTTATTAACTTAATTTTGTTAGAGCCTGTGGTTCTATGCTCAAGATTTTGAGCTTGAGTTTAAGCTAAATGATTGCTGGAACATTCCATCTACTTGTGGATGAGCAGACTCTACTATAGTTCTCAGTAAGGAAACTGAGTGCACAGCAGAGAATGATGGGCTCTAAGGTAATACTTTCCATCCTACTCACTACAGTACATCCATAGTCACCACAGTATGGATGTACCTGAGGGCCATCAGAGGTAATGGTGGCCTGGATGTGACTGAAGACAAGCCAAGTGGCACAACTCTAGTGCTGTATTTGGTTTATGTGGCAAGGTTTTGGTAGCAGGGAGGTCTGTGGGGGCTGGCTTCTGTGAAAAGATGTCAGAAGCTACTCCCAGTGTTTGGATAAAGCCAGCTCCAGGACAGACCTACAGCTGGCCAGGGCTGAGGCAATCAGTAATGGTCATAGCACCTCTGTGATAACAATTATAAAAGGGTACAAAATGCTGCACAGCGGCAGTTGAGAGAGAGGAGTGAGAATATATGAGAGAAACAACTCTGCAGACAGCAAGACTGAAGAGAAAGTAAAGTGAGGAACTGCTCCAGGTGCTGGAGCAGAGAGTCCTTTGCAGCCTGTGATGAAGACCATAGTGATATGGGTTGTCCCTCTGCAACCTGTGGAGATCCACAGTGGAGTAAATATCCATCCTGCAGCCTGTGAAGGTCCCCATGTTGGAGTAAGTGGATGTGCCCTCCAGGAAGTTTTGACCCTGTTATGAGCTCATACTGGAGCAAGTTCCTGGCAGAAAGTGGAAAGGAGTACATTCAGAAGCAGATTTCCTGTGAAGACCTGTGAGCTCATGGAGGACCCATGATGGAGTTGTCTGTTCCTGAAAGACTACACCATGTAGAAAGGACTTATGCTGGAGCAGTTCTTGAAGAACTATGGCCTGTGGAAAGGAACCATGCTTTAGCAGTTCTTAAAGAACTATGACCTGTGGGAAGGACCAGTACTGGAGAATTTTGTGAAGGACTATCCCATGGGAGGCACTCCACGCA